TTGCTCTCCTGACATGTAATTGTAATGGACTCCTCAGGTCACAGTTGAGGGCATCATGGTTGGTGTCTGCCCAGCCAGCTTGTCTGCACAGACTGGCACTGTGTCATTGCAATCAGGTGTGATCGGAGCTTTCAGTGCCGATCCATACGTAGATGCTTTCAAATCTTTTTTGTTTTGTTTAAACTGACTTGAGTTTGGGGCACTCTTCTCCCAAAACCAGCGACCACATGCAGACTTGTGCTGAAATAGTTGGTGTGAATTGCAGTTAATTTCATAAGAACATAAGAACAGCCCTACTGGGTCAGACCAAGGTTCCATCTAGCCCAGTATCCTGTCTACCGACAGTGACCAATGCCAGGTGCCCCAGAGGGAATGAACAGAACAGGTAATCATCAAGTGATCCATTCCCTGTTGCCCATTCCCAGCTTCTGGCAAACAGAGGCTAGGGACACCATTCCTGCCAATTCTGGCTAATAGCCATTGATGGACCTATCCTCCATGAATTTATCTAGTTCTTTTTTGAACCCTGTTATGGTCTTGGCCTTCACAACATCCTCTGGCAAGGAGTTCCACAGGTTGACTGTGCCTTGTGTGAAGAAATACTTCCTTTTATTTGTTTTAAACCTGCTGCCTATTAATTTCATTTGGTGACCCCTAGTTCTTGTCTACTTTCTCTACACCAGTCATGGGTTTTATAGACCTCAATCATATACCCCCCCTCAGCCATCTCTTTTCCAAGCTGAAAAGTCCGAGTCTTATTAATCTCTCCTCATACGGAAGCCGTTCCATACCCCTAATAATTGTTGTTGCCCTTTTCTGAATCTTTTCCAATTCCAATATATCTTTTTTGAGATATAGCGGTAACATGATATTTTCTGTCCTATTTTCTATCCCTTTCTTAATTATTCCCAACATTCTGGTCGCCTTTTTGACTGCCACTGCACATTGAGTGGGTGTTTTCAGAGAACTATCCACAATGACTCCAAGATCTTTCTTGAATGGTAACAGCTAATTTAGACCCCATCATTTTATATGTATGGTTGGGATTATGCTTTCCAATGTGCATTACTTTGCATTTATCAACATAAAATTTCATCTGCCATTTTGTTGCCCAGTCACCCAGTTTTGAGAGATCCTTTTGTAGCTCTTTGCAGTCTGCATGGGTCTTAACTATCTTTAGTAATTTTGTATCATCTGCAAATTTTGCCACCTGACTGTTTACCCCTTTTTCCAGATCATTTATGAATATGTTGAACAGGACTGGTCCCAGTACAGACCCCCGGGGGACACCATTATTTACCTCTCTCCATTCTGAAAACTGACCATTTATACCTACCCTTTGTTTCCTATCTTTTAACCAGTTACCAGTCCATAAGAGCATCTTCCCTCTTACCCCGTGGCAGCTTACTTTGCTTAAGAGCCTTTGGTGAGGGACCTTGTCAAAGGCTTTCTGAAAATCTAAGTACACTATATCCACTGGATCCCCTTGGTCCACATGCTTGTTGACCCCCTCAAAGAATTCTAGTAGATTGGTGAGGCATAATTTCCCTTTACTAAAACCATGTTGACTCTTCCTCAGCAAATTATCTTCATCTATATGACAATATTGTTCTTTATTATAGTTTCAACCAGTTTGCCCGGTACTGAAGTCAGGCTTACAGGCCTGTAATTGCTGGGATCACCTCTGGAGCCCTTTTTAAAAATTGGCATCACGTAAGCTATCCTCCAGTCATCTGGTACAGAAGCTGATTTAAATGATAGGTTACAGACTACAGTTAATAGTTCTGCAATTTCACATTTGAGTTCCTTCAGAACTCTTGGGTGAATACCATCTGGTCCTGGTGACTTATTGCTGTTTAATTTATCAGTTTGTTCCAAAACCTCCTCTAATGATACCTCAATTTGGGATAGTTCCTCAGATCTGTCACCTAAAAAGAATGGCTCAGGTTTGGGAATCTCCCTCACATCCTCAGCCGTGAAGACCAATGCAAAGAATTCATGTAGTTTCTCCGCAATGGCCTTATCGTCCTTGAGTGCTCCTTTAGCACCTCGATTGTCCAGTGGTTCCACTGGTTGTTTAGCAGGCTTCCTGCTGTTACTTTTTGAGTCTTTGGCTAACTGTTCCTCAAATTCTTTTTTGGCCTTCCTAATTGTATTTTTACATTTCATTTGCCAGTGTTTATGCTCCTTTCTATTTTCCTCACTAGGATTTAACTTCCACTTTTTAAAGGATGCCTTTTTGCCTCACTGCTTCTTTTACTTTGTTGTTTAGCCACAGTGGCTCTTTTTTGGTTCTCTCACTATGTTTTTTAATTTGGGGTATACATTTAATTTGAGCCTCTATTATGGTGTCTTTAAAAAGTTTCCATGCAGCTTGCAGAGATTTCGCTTTTGGCACTGTACCCTTTAATTTCTGTTTAACTAACCTCCTCATTTTTGTGTAGTTCCCCCTTCTGAAATTAAATGCTACAGTGTTGGTTTCATTACTTCACTTCCTATTTCTGTGAAGAGGAGGCCTGAGTGTTGCATTCACTGATGCAGAGCAGTTCACATAATTGTCATTTTACAGGCAGGGAGCTTGGAGCACAGAAGCCACACAGCTGGAGAGTGGAAGAGCCAGGTGTGGAGCCCAGCGTTCCTGTTGGAGTTGATTGGGCTGTCCTCAAACAGTTTTGTTCCTTTCTTTCTGAGACTTCCTGACTCCAGAGATTTCAGGCTGCAGGATGGTCCATTGGAGAGCCATTGAAGCCAGATGCAGTTTAGAGGAGCCCAGGTTCAAGTTCATTGTCTGCTGCAGTTTACTGTGTGGCAGTTTCAGGCTGGACCTTTAAATAGTGATACTGTGTTGGAAATGCGTAGATGTTAAAATCCATGATGCATTTTGTGAGAGTAAGAGTTCATTAGTTTGCCCTGGAGTAATTATGTAGTGCACTCTGTGCCTGTCTGTTAGCTGTTGCTCTCCTCCACAGAGGCTGCTGCAATTCCATGACACTTTATGTGTATAAAATGAAAGATAATATGTAATTATAAAATATTACTACAGCATACTCTTCTTCAGTGGGACACACTATATCAGGATAGCTGTTTTATTGGGATATTTTAGAGTGTTATGCTGGAAAGTGTAAATGGCTGCTGTCAGGTGGGTCTTTGATATAGAGACAATCACAAACTTTGTTAAATGGGTGGAGCAACTAAATGCTTCTTCATGTAGTGATAACTGGAAACATTAGGAAGCCATTGCCCAAGACAATGGGCTATATTACAAGGCCAATTAGAAACTAAGGCTATGTCTACACTAGCACTTTTGTCAGTATAACTTTAGTCAGTCGGGGTGTGGAAAAATAACACACTCCGGGCTGACAAAAGTTTCACCAACAAAAGTATTGGTGTGAACAGCACTATGTTGGCAGGAGACGCTCTCCTGCTGACATAGTACCACCACTCGTTAGGGGTTTGTTAATTATGCTGGCAGGAGAGCTCTCTCCTGCCAGCATAGAGCAGCTACATGGGAGACCTTACAGTGGCACAGCTGCAGCGGCTGTGCCGCTGTAAGGTCTGTAGTGTAGACATAGTGTTAGCCTTGTTGTCTGCCTGTTGTCCTGTGTTTCCTGGGACTAATTACAAACACAGAGGTGAGGGGATTGATTGGCCGCAGCTGTGTGTATCTGTGTGTGGTAGAAGCAGAAACTGAACAGGAAGTGAGAGAGCAGGCATGAGTATGGACCAGACGTGAAGCAGAGATATGGAGCTCTTTAGGGAACAGAACGGACTGGAGAAGCAGGCTTTGAAATTGTGAGCAAGGAAACTGCCTGTGTAGTTTTTTTCCCCATTGTGTTCAAGGAAACAGAACTTTATACTTGGCAAATAAACAGGATAGCACCAAAGAAATACCTGACTTATATAATCAATTTCTTCTCCTCATGGAAACAATCTGGCAAGGCCCCAGATACTGGCTAACTGCTCAGGCCAAAAGGGCAACAATAGGAAAATGAGTCAGGGCTTGTCTACACTTAAAACGCTGCAGTAGCCTGCTGTAGCACATCAGCACTGTCTACACTGATGGGAGGGCTTCTTCCGTCGGCATACGTTATCCACCTCCCTGAGAGGCAGTACCTAGGTCAACAGAAGAATTTTTCCATGAACCTAGTGCTGGTCTACACCAGGGATTAGCTGGGTATAACTGCCTCTCTCAGGTGTATGGATTTTTCACATCCCTGAGAGACGTAGCTATACCAAAGTAAATTTCTAGTGTAGACTAGACCTTTGGCTAATGATCATGTATAGTTATGACTGTTGCTTAATTTGGATCCTATTTAGCATAAATTTAGCAAGCAGTATACCAGTGAGTGTCACGGCATTAAATAGATATGAAGTTGTAAGCTCTTACCCTGCCACCCTTATCTAAGGCCTCATTGTCTGTGGCTTTGGTCAAGGATGATTTTTCTACTGGTGTCTAGCCAAATAAATCTATATTATGGAACTTTTGTGACCTGTTTGCAATCTTTTGTAAGCCAGCAGGGCTTTCAAGCCCCGGAGACTTTTTCTTCTCTTGACTGTTTTCTCATTCCTTTAAATTCCTGCAATTCCTTATTCTTTAAAAAGCCAAAACCACCAGGGAATTCGGCACCAAAAAGTATGTTGAGAAAACTTTTAACAATGTAAGGTTTGGGTGCCATATCCAAGTTAAGGATGCATGCACAAAACTTTGCAAACTAAGGGCAGGTCTACACTTAAAATGCTGCAGCTGTGCTGCTTATTCCTAGGGGAATTCTGTGCCACTGTGCAAGTGTAGAATTAATATCCCCCACAAATTCCCCCTTCCCCCCGCAGAATAATTTATTCTGCGGGGGAGGCAAAGGGAAGCAACGAAAGGGGCCATGCTGCAATTGCACCTTTCGCCCACTAGAGGCTGATGTGTTGTCAGAAGAGAGAGCAGCTGGCTCAGAGGCTGGAGCAGCCAGCCACAGAGAGTGAGGGGGCAGAGGCTGCCTTCCTCACAGTGCCCTGCCCGCGTGGCCAGGTGAGGAGTCATGGGATATGGGGGAGATGGACAAAGCAGGGCACGTGAGCTGCTGGGAGGTCACAAAGACTGGGGTTCAGAAGGGCTAGTGGGGGAACAGATTGGGGAGAGGCACAGGACCTAGTGGGGTGACAACGTTGAGACAGGAGCTGAATGGGAGTGGCAGTGCAGGGCCACATGGGGACATGTGCAGATATGCCTGGCTGAATCGCTAATGGAGGTGCAGGGACACACGGGGACAGGGTCAGATGTGCCTGACTGAATGGGAGAGGCTAGGGGTCAGAATTTTGAATTTTTGGTGCAGAATTTCCCCAGGAATAGCTGCTGTAGCGCTTCAGGGAAGACGCTACCTATGCCTACAGGAGGGCTTCTCCCGTTGGTGTAGGTATTCCACCTCCCCGAGAGGCATTAGCCATGTTGTCAAGAGAAGCGCTCCCATTGACTTAGCGCTGTCTACACTGCGGGTTAGGTTGGTTTAATTGTGTTGCGCCGGGATGTGTGGATTTTTCACACCCCGAGTGACGTAGTTATACCAACCTAATTTCATAGTGTAGACTGGGTCTAACTTTAGTCTTTCTTGATTAAAGAAATTTGTCATATGGATATAAATGTATAAATATATACATTTTCACTTGAAATATCTAGATAAAATGATCTTAAGGCATTAGTTAACGTTAAGAGTATGAGAAATTAGAGTAAAAACTTTACAGGGATGTTGTAATTATCTCAAAAACAAGCATTAAAACCCAGGTACTTCAGGGTTAAGGTTCACCTTAAAAGAAGTCCAAATGTGTTAACCTATGGAAATTCACTATTAGGGCACCCAGGCAATCTCCCCGTCCCCCCCCTTATGAAATCATCAGAACTGTGACTGGACCTTCCATAATAATAGTTAATATATGCATTTCTAGATAGCAACAACATATTTTTCTGTGATAGTTGTAAGATGCATGAATGTGTTATTCAGAGTTGTTTAGGATAATACCTTATTAGCACTGTTCTATTTGGATTTTACTGCTATGTGTTTTCTGCTACTACACACACTGGGGCCAGGCTGCTCTCACATTAGTATAAATCACTGAACTTCACTGAAGCCAACTGAGTTACAGTTCTGTCAAACATCCGTGTAAGTGGTTATAGTTAGATCCATTGTTGTCAGCCATGTAAGTACTTACTAGATGCTCAATTTTATTTGAGCATCTACAAATGATATTATTCTTTACATTTTACTTTTCATTCAGTGATAACACACTCACTATACATTTTGGACCTGACTTTCAAAAGTTTAGACATGTATTGTATGCACAAAAATGCATATGTGTTTGCCTAATTTGCATGCGCAGTTACCATATTTGTGTGAAATATGGTGTTTGTATGCACAAGTGATTGTGTAGGTAATGTAATTGGTCATATGCATACTTGTTTCATCAGGCCCAAAATGTGTAGTAAGTGTGCTGCCACTAAATGGAAAATCAAATGTAAAGACCAATGGCATTTTGAAATAAATTATTATAAGACACTGCTTCAGAACCTACCCGTTCACTCTAGCCTATTGATATGATTTTCTTTTTCAATTAGAAGGAACCAGAGACAGTTAATGAATCCACAGAAGAGGACTCAATTCATTTTAATGTTGGCGGCTGGCATTTCTCTATTCCGAAAAGTAAAATTGCTCAGTTTCCAGAATCCCTGCTTTGGAAAGAATCTTCTGCCCTAGTTCCATCTGAAAACCCAAGACTATTCATCGACAGAGATGGATTCACATTTAGACACGTCCATTATTATCTACATACCTCAAAGTTGTCTTTTTCCAGCTGTGCTGAATTGAATTTGTTGTATGAACAAGCATTAATTTTGAAGCTGACACCTTTATTGCAGGTACAGTGTGATGTTATGTATTACTTTTATACAGCTTTTGTTCATTCATAAATAATAATGACCATATAAAGATTTCAGAGTATGTGTGAATATATAGATGCTTGGAATGGATGCCTAACAATTAATTTCCACGTACAGTCATTCATTATGGGCTGCTGAGTACAGAAATAAATCCCGAATATGACATTTGACCTTTCCATCAGAGGCCATTGAAAGGTCCTTACTCATATTAAAAACACAGATTCATAGAAACATAGGGCTGGAAGGGTTCTTAAGAGGTCACCTAGTCCAGGCCCTGCACTGAGGCAGGACCAAGTAAATCTTGATCATCCCTGACAGATGTTTGTCCAACCTGTTCTTAAAAACCCCCAGTGAGCGTGTGATGGTTCTCAGGGTACCCAGGACTGTGAATCACCTGGTTGCTCCCTGCATCTAGCTTGAGTGACTCTTGCTTGTGCTTAACCGGGTATCAGCTCCCTGACACCATCAGCTTAGCCACTCACACGCTTTCCTCTGGACTTTGCCAGCCTTTAGCTTGTCTTGCAGGTTAGCAGTAGGTGCACCTCAGTCCCCAAGCCCCTTTGAAGCATTCCTCTGTAGCACCCAGTCCTTTTTCCATTGAACACTGATAGAAATACCAGGTCTGCTGTACCTAAGGGAACAGTGTACCCACCAGCTTGTGTGATTCAACTCAGAAGCAGAAGTACCTTGCTTAATATCACAGCACTTAACTATATTATAGTGAAAACAAGGAGAAGTTTATTACCAAAGATTCAAGTTATAGTGAGTAAGGATATTGGAAACAAAATTATAACATGCTTTCTAGAGACTAAACTTAACCAACAGGTTAACCTGTCTAAAGAAATGTATCTCACCCAATGTCTTTTGCTGCATCTTCAGCCAAGGTTGGCTGAAGTCCCGTTTTCATGAGTATAAATGCACTGCCCATTTACTTCCTGCGTGCAGGATAAGGGGGTGTCTTGTTTGCCTTCTTATATCCCTAACGTTCATTGTATGTACTGTGGTTAGTTTCTCTTTTGTGCTTTGTTGACTTCTAACCTCTTTGATAACTTCATATGTAAATAGGCATCCATTATATCAGCTTACAATGCTTAATTTAAATCTGACAGAGATAGATAAATAAACATCTTTTGTCTGACAGAAAACCTGTTTCTTCACCTCTGCTGGTGACTTATACCTTGACACAGAATCTAAGAACACGTTTTCAGTGTATATACCTAATTCTTTACATAGTATCTGTCTATGCAGTGTTGTTGTGCTGTGTTGGTCTCAGGATATTAGAGAGACAAGGTGGGTGAGGTAATATGTAATATGTTCTATTGGACCAACTTCTGTATGTAAGTTTCTGCGCTTACATAGAGCTCTCCAGACCTAAAGAAGAGGTCTGTGTAAGCTCGAAAGCTTGTCTCTTTCACCAACAGAAGTTCGTCTAATAGAAGATATTACCTCACCCACCTTGTCTCTTTAATATACTGGGACAAACACGGTTACAACAACACTGCATATATGATTTCTGTGTCTTATCTTCACGTACTCGTGCAATGTCATCTTCTGTGTCCTCTTCCTCCTCCTTGTTATCATCACTTTCTTCAACTTCCCCTGCCTCAAGAATAGACTGGCCACCCAAGAGGAGTCACAAAAACATGTAATCACTTTATGGGACACAAGCTAGTGCCTCTTCCTCCCTGACATTTAGCTGGGATGAGCAAGTATATCTGAGCATAATTTCAGTGCTACATGTATCATTGAGAGAAATTGATTTTCCACCTCAGTCTTGTATATTGTAATAGTTGATACATTTTCTTCTCCTGTTCTGTCTAACAGTTTAGAGTAGAGGTTGTCAGCCTGTGGTCCCTGCAGTCTAAGCGATCCACAAAAAGTGACTGTGAAAATAAAGTTTCAGATCCCAGAAAAGGCATTCCATTTTTCTGATCCATCAAAAGTAAATGAATACCCCCATCTATCAGGTCAAAACCCAGACGGGGTGTCATTACCATAGAAGCCCACAGGTTAGCGCCCTTTCTCATGTGGCGTCAATACCATGCAAAGCAAGTGCAACATTTATAGTTGAATTCTGTTCAGTCAGTTTTCAGTCTAAGACTCTATGGTAGGGGTCTGCGGACCACAAGTTGTATTTCCAAAGGTGCTTCACCTCCATTTGAAATATTTTAGGGGTCCGCAAATGAAAAAAGGTTGAAAACCACTGGTTTACAGAAAGGGATATGGTGGAATTTGACAGGCACTAATAATATTTGTCTCTCTGAAGCAGGTTGATCATGTAAGACAGTGAATTCATAAGCATCATCAAGATGTAGAATATGGTTTTTTTGGGTTTTTTTAAAAGGTTGCCAGATGGCTTACAAATGAATGTGGAACCTCTCCACCGGCTGCGTTTGAGAGAAAACTGTAATGAGTCCATAAAAAGTTCCAAAACATGGCCTTTTTCTGCAGTGTTTTAACCCAATACTAATTCAGACCACTGGCAAGTCAATACCTCGCTGAGTGGTTTCATGCTTACTTTTTGTTACTTTTCCAAAGAAATGCTTCTAGCAGTTAGGATGGTATTTTCCTTCTGAGGCTATAAGGTTACTTACACCAGCTACACATACACAGAGCTCATGTTCAGACTCTGGTGCCTCATGTATTTGTTTGTTCATTTTGAATGTTGTTGGACTGAGGTTCACTTACTCAACGGATGGATGTAACGAATATTTATTAAGGCAAAACACTCAGAGTAGCGATCAGTTACACTCACAAGTGAGAAGCTTAACAGGACGATCTCATCACAGTCGCGTCCAGCACCAGACAATACAGCATCAGCTTCTCTTTGTTACACAAACTTATTTATAACTTTATCTTTTCTTATACATACCTATTAGTCTCTCATTTCCCTGTTAACTCTCCTCTCTTAGTACAAGATTAGTGTTAGTCCAAACTGGTCTTTTCTAGTTTTATAGTTACTGTATCTTTTCTTGTTCTCATAAACACGATTACTCTGTAATTTCTTACACATGCGCAACACTAAACATGATTAGTCTGCATTTTCTTAATGTACATAGTTCTACTTAGGCTTATGTTGTTAAATGTTATCAGAACAGATGCATAAAATCCAAAGCAGGCTTCTGTTAGGCCTAAATATGCCTTCATTCTCAACAGTTTTTACAGAAGAAAGTTTTTGTTTGGCACTTCCACCCTGGCAGAAAATGCAAAGACTCCAGTACACTGGGGGAAACTTGCTCTGAAGTACTGTCAAAGTTTTGATGATTGTAACACAAGATTGGGTTTGCAGTTCACCCTTACTGGGGGATGAAGTACCTTCGATGGACTTCCAAGTCTGCTAATTTTACCTTTTATCTGTGCACGTTGCATAATGGTTTTTATGCCAAAGTAATGATTGCCTGCATTCAGATTGAAGAGCTGACAGAAGTTTATCAGTTGCATCCCTGTTTTGGAAACCATGGAGTTTCTGTCTTGCATTGGTTGCCTCTTGTATTATAGCCAATCACTGTTCACTAGAAGCAACAACGCTGTCCCTTTTCACTTGTTGTTGGCAAATAATGCATTGTTCATAAGATACAGTTCAGGAGTGCTTCATAGAATCATAGAATATCAGGGTTGGAAGAGATCTCAGGAGGTCATCTAGTCCAATCCCCTGCTCAAAGCAGGACCAACCCCAACTAAATCATCCCAGCCAGGGCTTTGTCAAGCCTGACCTTAAAAACCTCTAAGGAAGGGGATTCCACCATCTCCCTAGGTAACCCATTCCAGTGCTTCACCACCCTCCAAGTGAAAAAGTTTTTCGTAATATCCAACCTAAACCTCCCCCACAGCAACTTGAGACCATTACTTCTTGTTCTGTCATCTGGTACCACTGAGAACAGTCTAGATCCATCCTCTTTGGAACCCCCTTTCAGGTAGTTGAAAGCAGCTATCAAATCCCCCCTCATTCTTCTCTTCTGCAGACTAAACAGTCCTGGTTTCCTCAGCCTCTCCTCATAAGTCATGTGCTCCAGCCCCCTGATCATTTTTGTTGCCCTCCGCTGGACTCTTTCCAATTTTTCCACATCCTTCTTGTAGTGTGGGGCCCAAAACTGGACACAGTACTCCAGATGAGGCCTCACCAATGTTGAATAGAGGGGAATGATCACGTCCTTTGATCTGCTGGCAATGCCCCTACTTATACAGCCCCAAATGCCATTAGCCTTCTTGGCAACAAGGGCACACTGTTGACTCATATCCAGCTTCTCGTCCACTGTAACCCCTAGGTCCTTTTCTGCAGAACTGCTGCCTAGCCATTCAGTCCCTAGTCTGTAGCAGTGCATGGGATTCTTCCATCCTAAGTGCAGGACTCTGCACTTGTCCTTGTTGAAGCTCATCAGATTTCTTTTGGCCCAATCCTCTAATTTGTCTAGGTCCCTCTGTATCCGATCCCTACCCTCCAGCGTATCTACCACTCCTCCCAATTTAGTGTCATCTGCAAACTTGCTGAGGGTGCAATCCACGCCATCCTCCAGATCATTAATGAAGATATAGAACAAAACCGGCCCCAGGACTGACCCTTGGGGCACTCCGCTTGATACCGGCTGCCAACTAGACATGGAGCCATTGATCACTACCCGTTAAGCCCGGCGATCTAGCCAGCTTTCTATCCACCTTATAGTCCATTCATCCAGCCCATATTTCTGTAACTTGCTGGCAAAAATACTGTGGGAGACCATATCAAAAGCTTTGCTAAAGTCAAGGAATAACACGTCCACTGCTTTCCCCTCATCCACAGAGCCAGTTATCTCCTCATAGAAGGCAATTAGGTTAGTCAGGCATGACTTGCCCTTAGTGAATCCATGCTGACTGTTCCTGATCACTTTCCTCTCCTCGAAGTGCTTCAAAATTGATTCCTTGAGCACCTGCTCCATGATTTTTCCAGGGACTAAGGTGAGGCTGACTGGCCTATAGTTCCCCGGATCCTCCTTCTTCCCTTT